AGACAACCAACAGAAGTTACGAAGTTACCCACTTGTTTTACTTTCAGCTTCTATTTGCTGGGGAAATTTTCTCTTGTCTTTTCGCAAATATTGTTTTTAGACGCAGTATTTTTCCTTACAGAGGTATTTTTCCCTGGGGTTGGGAGCCAAAGTGCATTCGACGAGAAACCCGATAGATCTCGTTTTCTATCATTCAATACAGGGATGTTCTTACACGCTTACATTGAACTATTATTTTGAAGCTAGTAATCTTTAGTATCTACGTATGTCTTAGCTTTACATCTAATAAGTACTATGTAGATTAATTAGTTATTACAATTTGTTGTCGAAATTATATTGTAAAATTAGTGGTTTCCAAAATGTAGCCTGTAAACATACAAATGCTTAGGTATTAGGGGTCACTTCAAATTGCCTCAGCGAAGCGGCGTGCGCCAGGGTCACTTGAAGAGCATAGTTCTCTAATTCATAAAGCATAGATTTTTTTCTAAGAAAATGTAAAATGTGTTGTAACTCGCGGTCCAACGTTGTGCAGCGCGTCACCGCGTGGGCAATACAAAGTGTTATTTAGCTTCTCAACAATAATGTTTATCGACTTAGGGTTGCATAACGCGAAGTTTGAGAATAACAATGCAATATAGAACTTCATATATAAATAAATACTAAATAAAGTGAATATTTCTTCTCTCAGAACTTGTTTAACGAATGAGAGATCTTGTTTAAGCAATTTATAGATTTCAAATGCAAACAATACATGACAGTGTGTACAAATAAAACCGCGGTGACTTAATGAATTCCATTGTAGGCGCTGGAAGGTGCCTGGTTTTAGTTTTTGACCAAAATTCACTTTTCTAAAGTTGTTTTGACCTGAGTGTTCTGGGCATGTTCTGGGTAGTGCATCTGTGTTATCGGAAAAGTACATTTAAAGGCTATTTAAATTTAGAGCGAATAGGCGTTTGTTAAATAAATGCGTACCGTAGCGTCAAACATCGTCGATTAACATCAAGTGAGATTGGAGTATGGCATGTGTCTATTAAATAAACATATTATATACAAAAGTACGAGTTCTTAGGTAATGAGGTGGGTATCTATACAAAGTACAATATTGATGTTTCGCTGATACTGGCACTGTGTGACATTAGCAACACTATCTACTAGGTACGCGCATAGAAATATGAGTAAATCGTGCGATAGAAATGTCGGGAACGAGATTTTCTATTTGAGAATCCTAGTGTTTGATTGAGAGCTATTTTTTACATATTCAATAGCAATTTTACAGTTTATTCCATTTTATAAAAGTCAAAAATGTCAAACAACTTTTATTTCATAGGTAAGCAGATTACATTTGAAATCGACATACTGATTAAACTCTACTGCCTCATTTGCAAGGCAGATTCCCCTGAGAAGAGTGAGCAAGAAACTTTAAGGGTTGCTCTTTGTAACTATACGAGTGTATTTGAATACATTTATGATTACAATATTTAATTTACACATATTACTTAGATATAGGGACTACCTGACAGAGTTAAACGGGTAACTTTTGTAGCCTAGGGGATAGCTCAGGTTGCGTAGCGAGAGGTACTTTATAAATATAAATTGGGATTAACTTCAAAATTAGATGTTTATTGTATTTTTCACATATTTACTTCTTGAGGCTACTTCTAGATCTGCCAAGATGTTCTTTTTCTATCCTATTTTTCAACACATTCTAAATACAAAACTATATTCACTCAGCCATTAGTTCTACTCATAGAGTAGAGCCTAGACTACACTACCATGGATATTTCTAGGACTTGCTAGTTAGTCTGCTAACATACCTGTTTTCGTAGCTGGATAGACTCTCTTCTTGTTGTTTAGTAGCAGTAGAGCTCCATGTGAAAGATTTCGTCCTGGTAAGTATTGCCGCATTATTACTTATTTAATCCAAGCAGTAATATCAGCATTACTGTGTTCCGGTTTTGAAGGGTAAGGGTGCTGGTGAAATTACAGGCACATGGGGTTAACTTATGTATCAGGGTGACGGGCGCAATGGCAGGGCCTTTCAGATCTTTGCGATTTAAAGCTCTGAGTGGCACTGCAACTGTTATGGACAGGCGTGTCGCTTACCACTTGTTCGTTCCGTCACTTGGTATCATAAAAAACTCTATAAAAGTGGCTACAGTGTAAACCACTTATTTTTATCTGCCCTGTGTCGTTACTTGTGCCTACTTCACTCCGCTTTATACAGTTACAGTATAACTTAATATTATTTTTAATATAAATATTTATCAGCGACATTTAAAATAATAAAAACCAAATCAACAAATCAAAAAGAAAGAAGAAAAAAGATTTCAATTTGTAACTAATTATTGGTTTCAGTTAGAGGCACATTAAAACGAAATTGCGAGATTCTTTAATCACGAAAACATTCCAAATGTAATTTATCACTTATTCTCATTGACTTACAAATAAATGGACGACGGGTCTAATACAAAAACCACGAAAAAAATGTCCCAAGTCAACCTATTTAAACGTAGTGACATGTAAAGGAATATGAAAAAGCTAAAACGTTGAATTTAAATTGAATGTCATCGTAGTACTGTCTAATTTTGCTTGCTTCGCTGTCAGTCGAACAAACGAAGACTAAAGCGTGAATGACGCTCTGTATACGATTTTAACGCCCTGTAAGTTCGGACACTTTTTAGCGCGGACCCGACGTCCATATAATTGTAAGTCAATGCTTATTCTGTTTATTTTCTGCAAGTTGTGTTAATTTCATGATGATATTAAAGTTTGAAACACACAGAGAGCGGGTGCGGGTCGGGCGCGTGTCTGGTCGGGAGCACGGCGGGTGTAATTCCGTGGATTTATTTGGACAACAATACACCACCTGGGAGCGCGGAATGGGCGCACGTGCTCGCGCTTGGCGTGTTGTCGTCCATATAAATACACGCGCCCGACCCGCACCCGCACTCCGTGTTTCACGCTTTAAGAAAGAAATTGTTAAATTCATACTCATAATCAACAGTATAAGTATTAATTTATTTGCAAAGAAGTTGACATGTATAATGTTTCACTGCGTCCGGCCAAAAATTAGACATACATACATATTGACGGTACCTATATTATACATTTACTCACATGCACGTAGGCGTAGCATGTTTTTTAATAATAGCACACAAGAATTGAATAAGTAAGTCGGTAATTTAAACGCAGTGATAGTTGATAAGCACGTGTCATTCAATATGACCATAATTTTCCCAAAAAAATACCATTCAGTACCTAAAGACTTTTTTTGTTGTTTTTGATAGTTTGTGGAATTCATCATCGAGTAATTAATCAGAAATAGAGACGAACTGTCATTTAATTTATTTGAAAACGATTCTGCCATATCATTACTGTGACAACTGCGCTCCGATTGGCCGGCCCGAGTTCGAAACAATTGACGGGTGTCGTCAATTGTTTCACTTCAAATCGACCAGGTAATTTGAGCTGTACTATAATGGACGAAAATTGCAAAATGACATGTTTGATTACCGATGACATTTGATTCCCTTTGGTTTGTAATTAGATGTTTTGCTTTTTTCCCCACATCGCCGAATGGAACAGCACGCCATTGTTAGAGATATTATCTTTATTACAATAAATATAGAATATTTTGGAATATACGGAGACGTACACACAGGTCAGTTGTTGGCGCTGTCTATATTTCAACGCAAACGAGAGTTGATATTTATAAGTGATGTATCACTGACGAGTTACCAAGAATGTATGACCCTAATTTCGACTCTAATTTGTGGAATTAAAACTTTTGCGTAAAGAGCCGTAGGCTTGTCTGTGGCTAGCCATCTAGCTACTATCCAACTGCCACTGCAATTTTTAGGTATACTAGTCGATAGCGTAGTCAAACGTACCAATATTATAATTCTATACGACGATAGATACAGACGAAATACTTTCAAAGATTTTTAGCCAACAAGCACATAGAAAAATTCGCGAGGTCTGCTGGTTTGTTCCGTGGCTTAGTTGGCACAGCGTCCGGCACGGCACGCTTTGCTAGGAGTCGTCGGTCCGAATCCGGCCGGATCGAAAGAATATTTTCTAAGTATTCGATCTTTGTATTAATAATTATAACAAACTAGTGGAGTAATTTAATTGTAATTCTGTTTTCGTAGCAGTAGAAACCTTGTGAAAGTCCAGGAAAGTATTGCCACCTTACCTATTTAGTTTCGATTTGCAAGGGTAATGGTGCTGGTGAAATTACAGGCACGTGGGACTTGTCAACTTACGTCTCAGGGTGACGGGCGCAGTGGCAGTGCCCCTCAGATCTCTGCAATTTAAAGCTCTGAGTGGCACTGCAACCGTTATTGCCAGGCGTGTAGCTTACCATCCGGCGCACGACTTGTTCGTCCCGTCATTTAATATTATAAAAAAGTAACTTAACTTCAAGGATGTCACAACAATTTCTTGTTTCGCAACAATGTCGTAACGTTGTGTAACACTCTCGTGTACCATCTCCTGGGGTACGCGTATTATAACAATAACAAAGAACGATATTGTACAAGCTGTGTTTTGCTTTAGAACCTTAAACAGTGTGTTAGACAGTGCCTCTAAGATCTTTGCGATTTAAAGCTCTTGAGTGGCATTGCAACTGTTATGGATAAGCGTGTCGCTTACCACATCCCGTCTGTTGGTATTATAAAAAAATAATAACAATTTGAAGACTAATTTTATTGTTGCTTAAACGAGATAATAATTTAGATGTGCATAGTAACTGTAATGGTAGGTTTACTAAGGCAACATGTATCGTTAGTGATTGAATAAACGATCATTGCCATTCCACTGGCACTCTATTGGGACTCAACTGCCGTCGCAACTAGATTTTAGCAGTATAACTAAATTTATCATAATTGCAATATAACCTCCATGGAGTCCCATTGGAATTACAATGACCACTGGTTTCAATAAAATTAGACTTGGCCTTAGAAAATCGAGATGAGATAGATGATCTTCTTTTGTTTCAGAACATTCATTCTCCTAACAATTTTCTCACAGTGCATGGGCAATGTGAAGATTCCGACTATGGCGTATAATCGAGAAAAAGGATGTGCACTTGTTTGGTTTCCACTCTTCAAACTGTTCCCTGTAAGTTATTAATAATGTGTAAGGATACAATATATTTATTTGCTGAAAAATGTAGTACACAATGAAGGTGTTTTTATGTACTGTATTAAATTAATATTTTACACATTTTACACATTTTACTTTTGATATTTCTTTTTTTAATAAAATATAAGTGCGCATTTGACGTCCATCTCACCTGATAGAAAGTGACGATGGAGCATGTTCTCCTAAATAATGCCTACTCACTCTCGCATTGAAAAGACCCAAATTATAACGTTTAGGTAACAAGTCTGCAGGCAGGGAATTCCACTCCATAGCCGTTCGCCGTATAAATATGGAAGCGTAACGCTTCGTGCGAATCTTTGGAATATCGACAACATAGGGGTGGAAACCATGGCTACGCCTAGTTTACGGCGGTGTTCAAGGCTCTGCAGCTTCGACTCCACTAATTCCAAGTCACCTATAAGCCTCTGGGCACGGTTGTCAATTGAATCACAAGTAGCCAGTAGATATGTAGCAGGACCATTCCAAAGGTGGCAGCAGTACTCCATGCACGACCGGACTTGTGCTTGGCTATGTACAACATATAAAGTTAATACAATAGCATAAAAAAAAACAACATCAGTTAGAATTTTTGCCAGTTGCGGTGAAGAAGGTTCTATAATCTCTCTTAGCAAAAACACATACGGGAATTTCGAGAACTCGATAATTTGACCCATAACTCAGTTAGTAACAGCAGTATTACGGTGCAGCATTGCCGTGAGTTCAAGTCCCGTTGGGTCGAAAAAGTTTTTCTACGTGTTCGATCTTTATATTAATAATCATAATCATTAATTAAATTTCACATTCTATGTTTTCATGTTTAAATAAAAAGAAATCATCAATATTGTATTGTGTAATATTGCATTAAAAGCCATGGTTTGACCTCTACCGCCTCTCAAACAGAGACCATGGGTTCCAATCCGTTCGCATTTCTGAATTTCTCGGTATTGAAAAATTGAAATTGAGAAATTGAGAAATTAAAAAGTTGGGTTTTCCGGTGATGGAAACATCGTGGACGTCGAAGAAGGTTCATAACCCACCTTCGACTTGTGAGGAGACCCGTGCCCAGCAATGGAACGTATAAATGGGTTGATGATGATGATGATGCATTGAGTAACTAACAATTTAAGGAATTTCATTTTAAATTGTCTACAATTAAATTGTTTTACCCAAAGGCAGAGTACTAGACACTACCCTGAACACCCAGACCAAAATCAATTTAGAAAAGTTCGTTTCCCAAATTGGTCCCACCAGGAATCGAACCCGGGACCTTAGCCTGCGCTCGCAGTGCAAACCGTTGTACCACAGAGCTCGTATAAAAAACGCAGTTATAATATTTTTGATTTTTTTTCTACAATGTTAAAAGAGAAATTGAGGTATTTTTAAAAACGGCTGATTAAAATACAATTGAATGTTTGTGTATAAAATATGTATTTATAACATAATTAAACTACTTAATATCATATGTACATTTTAACTATTTTTTTATCGAGTTCTTAGGTTGTCGCGATTGTTACACAAAGGAAATGTAACTATTTTTCCGGATTTAAATCGCGTATATGTGTTTTTTCAAATGAACCAACGTTTCGGGCCCAACCAGTTATATATGTGTAGATAGACTGTGCTACCTCAGCCAACCGTGACCATGGGACCTGTAAAGAGCCCGAAGCGATGATTTATTTTAAAAAAAATATACACGATTTAAATCCGGAAAAATAGTTTCATATTCTATTCTTTTTTTATCAGAAAAACTTAACAAATATTTAAAGACATTTATCTAAGAATTTACAATTTCCTGCTTGTTCGTTTCTTCCTTCCGAAGGCAGTGTAGTTTGTATTATTTTTGCAGTATGATGAAATATGACTTATAATATCAATGGAAGGAATTACTATAGACAGCGGATACGTTGTAGGTACGAATTATACGGACTATGCAAAAGCAATGACAATCATGTTTCCAAATGGTTAACTCGCAGATTCCTCAGAATTCTAATCTTGAAGATTAATGCATTCTCGGGGCCCTGGAGGCAACAAAGCGTAAAGATAAAAATAACGCTCATATCCTGAATCTCGGTTGAGTTTATGGACATTTTTATTTAAAATACCCGAATTTGAAGGTTTTATTATAATGACGACGTCAGTGGTCCGTAGTCGAGTGGCTTGCGAGGTCCCGGGTTCGAAATCCGGCCTGGTCCATGTAGAAACTAAGATTTTAATTAAGAAGAACAATTTTCAATATTGTCTCGGATCTTGGTGTTTGTAGTACCGTCGCTGTTTCCAATTTCCATAACACGAAGTGATTAAGTTACTTACTTTGGGATCGGAGCAAGGTGTGTGATATGGTCTAGATAATATTTATATTAATTATTTCACTTTTAATTGTCTAATTGGCTAAACTCTACTGTTTATTCGTAAAAAATATTCATATACATTTATCATCTACAATGTTTATTTGAAATATGATAGATCAAGACTATCTGCAACAGCTAAATGGGTCACTACTATGGATATTTGTCAAGTATAATAAATCTTCAGTGTGAAGTTTTTGTTTGACGATAGTTTTAACCCTCCTAAATGGCAAAGTTAGAACATCAATCTTATTATAAAAGCGTATGTATTGCCCCTTAAATGAATTAGCGACTTTGTGAAGGCGTTTTTCAAGAACAGCTAGTTTATTTTTAACCGACTTCAAAAAACGGGGAAGTTCTCAATTCGAATGTATTTTTTGTATGTATGTTACGTACCTCTATTACTACCATAATTGTGAATCGATTTTGATGAATCTTTTTTGTTGGAAAGAAGGTACCTCAGTGGTCCCATTTAAATTTGAATAAAGTATTCCACCTGTAAGGGTGGCAAACAAGAGGATTAATCCGGTTTCGCGCACTTTCCGGAACCGATTTCTATAAAACTTGGCAAAGAGATATAATTCCTCGAACTTTTGAGGTCGGTTTTTAATTATGTATATATCACTAAACTTCACAGAGGATATGTAAGAACGTTATTTTAATATAGTATCCAATTTATGTCATTCCATCAGGTCCTACTGACCATAGTAATTATGTGGTCGGTCTGCGGCATCCTCACTGCCACTGGAGTATTCCCGGCTGGTCATCCTGCGCGAACAGATTTGAAAGTCAACATCATTGAAGACGCTCCGTGGTTCAGAGTGCCCTACCCTGGTGAGCTCTTTGTAAAAGATTTCGTCCAGGGAAGTACTGCCACAGTGATTATTAATGCGTTCCGGTTTTGAAGGGTGCTGGTGAAATTACTAGTACTATAGTGACGGGCGATCTTTGCGATTTAAACCTCTGAACAGATCGTGCGCGTGATAGTAAGCTAAATGCCTATCCATAACAATTGCAGTGCCACTCAGAGCTTTAAATCGCAAAGATTTAAACTTTGGAATACAGTAATGCTGACATTACTGCTTGGCGGCAGAAATAGTTAACTTCCAGGGAAGTACTGCCATCTACTAAGTACTTCTTACACAAGGAACTCTACTGCTAGTAAAAAACCACCAGGTGCACGACTTGTTCGTTCTGTCATTTGGTATCATAAAAAAAACTGTTGGACTTATGAAAACATTGAAACGTGTACGCGGGCCGCAGTTTGTCTCTCCGTTTGTCTCTTTTTTTACACAATTTAACTTCACAGGTGTTCTACGTAACTATAAATAAAAGCCATACGAGTAAATACCGAAATTCGAATCGTGGACCTGTCGCCGTGTGTGCCGTTAAGTTTGATCGAACATGTATTTTTCAATTAGGTCAATGGGGTGCACCCACAGTAAGTGTGGCCGGAGTGCTCGGCATGTTAGCCGGCGTCATCGCCTGCACAGTGGAGTCTATCAGTTACTACCCTACAACGGCTAGGATGTGTGGTACGTCCAGCCATTAAATCCGCATTAAAGTAATTAACATTTCCGAGGTTAAAATTTTTTACTTCACGAGATTTTGTAGATTGATTTTACTCAACAGTCATCAACCTATTGTACGTTGTACTGCTGGGTACGTGTATCCTCTAAGAAGAGGGTTCAGGCTATTGTCCGCTACGCAACACCAATGCCCATTGGAAACTTCATACGAATTTCAAAGATTGTGAAACTTACTCATAAATATGAATAACTTCTACTTGGGAAGTACTGCGGATACCAGCCCGTTACACCAAGTACCAAGTACTGCCACCTTACCTATTCCTACCTCCAAGCATTAATGTGAGCATTAGTATGTGGCTTAGTGCAGTGAGGGTTTCATCGCTGCACTAGGTTCCTTCGCGTTTGGATACCACTTTCCACTTAACATCAGGTGGAGTGGAGTCATTTGCCTGTCATGTATGAAAAAAAAAAAAAAAAAAATTGCGTTCCGGTTTTGAAGGGTAGGTTGGTGAGATTGCAGGCACATGGGACTTGTCAACTTATGTCTCAGGGTGATGAGCGCAGTGCCCCTCAACTCTTTGCGATTTAAAACTCTGAGTGGCACTGCAACTATTATTGGACAGGTGTGTCGCTTACCACCAGGTGCACGACTTGTTCGTCCCGTCACTGAGAATAAAAAAAAAGAAAAGGAAAAAACTATAAATAGAATGATAATAATAACCAATAGCATCAAAGGGGTTTGCTCTCTTTTTTTTTTGTATTTGGCTTCTGTCCCACTGAGGACAATTCTGCCAGTGTCCTGGTTGAAAGATACACGGTATATTTATCAAGATTAGCAGGACCGCACTCAATGATGATCGGTTGCACCATCCTACGGACAAAGACAAGACACGAGGTTATTTAACTAACTACTTTGCACATAGAAAATGTTATAACCGTATGTTATTTTGTTCAATATATTTAAATAGAATAAATAGTCGAAGAGGTTTTAGGGGAGAAAGGATACTATAAAAATTTGTGAGACGAGGAATACAATCTGGAAGAAGATCGTGTAAAGAGACGGGGTTTGCTCTCGTTCTCTGTCCGAAACAAATTACTGTCAAATAACGCTCACAACGCTCACAATCAACATAGCCCCGCACTAGGGAAACCCTGTGTCGCGGGTGCCATGGACACACACATAGACAACCACACATTACACCCAAACTCACGAGATAAATAAATGTAGGCCATACAAATATTTCTCCCGGCCCGGGAATCGAACCTGGGACCTCTGCGCGGCAGTCCGGCATGGTAACCGTTCGGCCACGGAGGCAGTTAAATAGTAGTAATAAGCAATACTCGATAACTTGGTCGAGTATTACTTATTTGACAGTAATTATTTCGGACCGATGTCGGATGGAGAACTCTTCTCCATCCGACATCTGTCTGAGTCGTTAAAGTAAACATAAGCACTTCTTTTAACTTGCTCGCTGAACTAAAAAATTTCGTAAAAATATTATGTTAATAAGATCGAACACTCAGAAAAAATTCCTTCGATCCGTCCGGATTCGCGCCGACGTCTTCTAGCATACCGTGTCAGACGCTATACCAACTAAGCCACGGAACGAACCAGCGGCCTCGCGAATTTTTCTTTGTGCTTCTTGTCATTTCTTTGTATTTGGTTTTTAAACGATTTTTTAGCCTTAGCGCCATCTATGAGAAATCTTAAGATATTATGTTAATCTTTAGCCGCTCCTCCACCACCTTTGCATGCCATCAACCGAGGCCTTGGCACAGAGGGCCTGGGCACGGTGTTGGCCGGACTTTGGGGCTCCGGTAACGGCACCAATACCTTTGGAGAGAACGTCGGAGCTATTGGTGTTACAAAGGTTTGTATGCCTACTATACTATTGATAGATAGAAGGAAAGAACACAATAAAGGCACGGAAGAGAGTATACACTATGCTACCATGGTAAGAGTAGATGTGGCCGAAAATGGTACCAGCTCGCCCAAAATATATCTGTCAGATACTTCTTTGTCAAAAATGAACCAACCTTATTTGACATTACCATGCACAGAACATGTTACCATGAGTTTAAAACTCGAAACCCTGTGTCGCGGGTGCCATGGACACACACATAGATAACCACAAATTACACCCCAAACTCACGAGAGAAATAAATGTAGGCCATACAAATATTTCTCCCGGCCCGTGAATCGAACCTGGGACCTCTGCGAGGCAGTCCGGCATGGTAACCGTTCGGCCACAGAGGCAGTTAGAGTTCTATTTAGTTCAGTAGTATATAAATTCTATTTAGTTCAGTTGACATAAAAAAAATTGGTATAAGTGAAGTAACTATTGAATACAGCGGTTGTTTTGTAAAATTGCGAGGTAAGTTTGTATTTTTGTTTCTATAGCGAAACTTTTTACGAATCATGTTTTCACACCGTAGAGTAATCAGTGTATTGTATATCCTAAATTTTACTATATATTTATTCCAAAATGATTGCTGGAACACTTTCACTGTGAGGTTGTATAGACTCTTAAAAAGGAAGTGTTTTGTGTTTGGTTCCTGTTTTGTGCATTTAAATAAGAAATGTTTTTGAAAGCAAAATCTAATATATTTTAGGTTCTGAGAAAGAAAGGTTTTAAATGAAGTTTTTTTCAATCAGGTAGGAGCTCGTCGTGTGGTACAATACGCCGCAGGTCTGATGGTGCTGCAAGGCGTGGTTGGCAAGCTGGGCGCAGTCTTCATTATTATCCCGCAGCCAATTGTCGGCGGCCTCTTCTGCGTCATGTTCGGCATGATCGCAGCTTTCGGTAAGACGTTTTGCTTTATGACGTTCTAAAATATTGCCGTGATCGGCATTGACAGATGTATTGCCACCACCAACCTTACCTTAAGTGGACACAATAATCATTAAATCAATCTTCTTCTTGGGGTGCCATCTCCGACCGGAGGTCGGCTATCATCGTGGCAATTTGGTTCCGTGAAATTGCGGCTCGGAACAGTTCTGTGGTCAACCACTCTGCAAGATTTCAAAGTCACGTGGTTTTTCTACGACCACGTTTTCTGCAGCCCTGGTATTTTTCCTGCAGAATGAGTTGCAGTAGTATTTATCACTCCATATGATATGCCCAAAGTACTGCAACTTCCTCCTTTTTACTGTTTTCAGGAGCTACAAGCCTTTGTGCATTCTCCGCAATACGTTGCAATTAAGTCAATGGGACATCAAAGAGTTAAAAAAAGCTTTTTGTTTCTCCTCAGGTCTGTCAGCTTTACAATACGTAGACCTGAACAGTTCTCGGAACCTGTACATCATCGGCTTCAGCATGTTCTTTCCGCTAGTTCTTACTCGTTGGATGGCTGAGCACAGCGGTGTCATACAGACCGGAGTCGAGGCTTTAGACGCTGTACTACAAGTTCTCTTGTCTACTTCCATTCTGGTAGGAGGAGTTGTTGGGTGTCTATTGGATAATTTGATACCAGGTACCTATTGAAAAGCTCATTACAATTGTCTATTCAAGTTGAAATTTCGTTAATGTATATGAGTCGTATCACGTGTACCATTTTTAATCGACTTCAAAAAAGGAGGTTGTCATTTCGACTGTATTTTTTTTTTATGTATATTACGCGATATCTCCGGCGTGAACCGAACTCGATGACTCTTTCTTTGTTGGAAAGAGGGTTACCCCAGTAGTCGTGGTGGTAAAATATTCCACCTCTAAGGGTGGCAAATTAGGGGATGAATCCGGTTTCGCGCACTTTCCGGTAACCGATTTCAATAAAACTAGGCAAAGAGATGTAATTCCACGGACATTTGAGGTCGGTTTTTAGTACCACTGAGATTATGGCGCATTAGATCTTCGTCGCAGGTCACCGATACGTCATGAAAAATGCTACATTATCAGGCACTGATGAAGAACGAGGTCTGGCAGCTTGGGCTAAGGAAATGTCGCTGGATGCAGCTGGTGCCTCCGAAGAAGGAGACACTTACGACTTCCCCATCGGCATGAACCTGATACGAAGGTAAATACAACTACGGAACAGAAAAGATTAGCATCCAATGACAGGAAATAATCGATAGAATTGTACACTGACTGGCTCCATACGCCTAGGTTAATTGAGACGTAGACGGTTCGAATCCCCGAGCCTGTATGTACCTATGGCTTTAATTTCTAAATACGTTTGTGAATGTTTAGTAGCAATAATGAATGAATAAATGACCGAATGAACGAATGGATGAAGGAATACCTCTTGTTTAAGAAATATCTAAACATGTGGTTCTGCTAAAAGTATAAATAATAGTAATTTGTAAATTAATAGAATATGACAAGATTTTATTTTGGGCAGGCAACACTGTTCTTTTCTCTCACTTCTAGAAACCCTAGACACAGCAGGTTTAATTTTAAAATGTATTTCTTTTTAATACCAAGTGACGGGCTGAAAAGGTCGAGCGCCTGGTGTTAAGCGACACGCCTGTCCATAGCAGTTGCAGTGCCACTCAGAGCTTTAAATCGCAAAGATCTTAGGGGCACTGCCACTGCTACCTTCATTTGAGACATAAGTTGACAAGTGCCTGTAATATCTGGTGATATTATTGCTGGGTGCTGGTGCACCCATTACTGATTGGCAACAGCAACAAGTAAAATGTACTTCCCTAGACGAACTCTCTCACAAGGAGCTCTGTTGCTTCTAAAATGGGTAGATGGCAATAATATGGCAAGGTTAAAATGTAAATTAATATTTCCCAGGTGGGCATGGACCCGATATCTCCCGTTCATGCCGACTTACGAAGCCGGGAAGTTCACCCAGCTGTTCAAGAGGAAAAAGGAGAGTTGATACTTTTACGTTTGAATCAGAGCAAGATAGTGAACATCGGCTGCTGGCTAAACATTTAAGAAGACCGGGGAACAACGATCAAAGTCACCTAAAAACATGTTTTGAGGAAACACTGTCGTCTAATTCGTTAAATGCTGAGCGTAGTTCACTATCCTGAAAAATACATTTTTAGTTTTAGGCATAAAATGCTTGAGACTGAAATGGTAGAAAAATTTAATAATATTTATAAAGGTTTTTTTAGGTAAAATGGATTACATAGGGTTACACATATTATGTCAACATTGACTTTATTCTGGAATAAAGTAGCATTAGTTAGCAATAGCTTTCCAAATTAAAAACAATATCGAGTCCTTAGGTTTTCGCGATTGTTACTAATAGGAAGTGAAACTATTTTTCCGGATTTAAATCGCGTATATTTGTTTTTTCAAAATTATTTTTTCCTAAAGTTCTCCTCACATGACTTTGAACATTCTTTCCCTGGACTCTTCATTTGTATAAATAATAAAAATTTAATTTAAAACATGGATCATGAACTCAAGAGTAATGCTTAATCTTCATACCGCTGATCGTAACTCTGAAAAAAGGTCTGAAATATCCTGGAAGTAGTTTATTATTATGAAAATGGCCGTGGATATTAATAAATTTCTCTTTAGTATGAAATATAAGAGGTCAGTTTCTTTTCATTGTAATATTATTCAAATATTACCTAAACCTACCTAGACCTAAAATTATTTTCTGAATTCGTTTGGTTTGTAGTGTCCATACTTGGCATTGTGTGTTACAAACCAATTTATAAAATAATGCTTCCTGATGTGGGTAGACGGTTTATCTCTGTTTTTACATTTCACATGTTTACTAATACTGGACAACAATTTATTTGTCATACATCCACATAGTAGCAACAACAAAAGTGCGCCATAATATCAAAAATGGAACTTACAAAACATTCACTATTACAAATGACATTACCGAGAATGACATTACTCACTGGTAGTTACTAAATTTAGGAGAAATCACTACTTATCTTTCAAATATAAAGTACTTAAATTAGGCACTTGAGAATTGTGCAATATTTTGTTACGAACGGTGAATCATATTAATATTGCTGACGTAAATAAATATCATATAAAAATATTATTGTATCATTTCATGTCATTGAAGGTACTTTTTTATGAGATGGCAACAACCTTTCTTTTTGAGGGCATCACCATACTTATCGACGCGGAATCGGCTTGAATTATGTATATTTTTTATAAATATTAGACATTTATTTGAATATAGATAGTAGACAACATACATTACGTTGTTCTCATCCCAAAGTAAGTAGCTAGAGCACTTGTGATATGTTAATTGGAAACAATTACGGCGGTACTACAAACAACCAGATCCGAGACAATATAGAAAAGTTAGTTTTCTACATTAAAGCGGCCGGGGATCGAATCCGGGACCTCAGAGATGGCGATACAATGAAAGCGTGTAAGCCACTCGAGATTGTTTTACCACACGCCATATTTGTCGCTTTAAGGGTCAAAACACAAAACTGCGAATCGGCGCGATGCGTATTCGCAACGCAGAAAAATTCGACACGAATTGCTGGGGTGCGATTTTGTGCGGCAAGGCGTCTTCATAACCACGGTTCGGGTAACCATTCCTTCGACCATTGCCAAAACGGGTGTTTTAAACTAGGTGACGTGAGTCGAAATTAGGGCCATACATTCTTATGTATGGCCCTAATTAAGAGCCGTGGCTTGTCTGTGGCTATCTATCTAGCTACTACTAGATAGCGTAGTTAAACGTACCAATATTATAATTCTATACGACGATAGATACAGACGAAATACTTTCAAAGATTTTTAGACAACAAGCACAGAAATATTAGCGAGGTCTGCTGGTTCGTTCCGTGGCTTAGTTGGCACAGCGTCCGGCACGGCACGCTTTGCTAGGAGTCGTCGGTCCGAATCCGGCCGGATCGAAAGAATATTTTCTAAGTATTCGATCTTTGTATTAATAATTATAACAAACTAGTGGAGTAATTTAGGTAAAAAGTATAGAAAAAAAAACACAAAGAAGATTAACGTCACAGGAAAGCGCAATTCGCAAATTCTTGCGATGCGTAATGCGAACTCGTAGATTTCTGCGATACAACGTCGCATCGCAGTTTTGTGTGTCGACCCGAAGCCGATTTGACGTTAATTCGGCCGTTACGCGACTACGCGGGCGTTCAGTAGTCGACGCTATGATAGTACAGAAGTGGGCGCCGGCGTTCAGCGATCGTCTAGGACCGGGGGGTATGAAAGGTGGTCTTCGCACCTTAGGAATCGTTCGGCGATTGACAAGCGATGCGGCCATTCAGGGAGTCTACCCTCGTTCTCTGTTCGAAACAAAACTGTCACATAAATAATACTCGAACAAAGTCAAAGACAATGTCAAATATGAAGGTTCATTCGCATCATGCGCCTTATAACTTGGTCGAGTGTTACTTATTTGTCAGTAATTGTTTTGGACGGATGTAGGACGTAGGATGTAGGTCTCATCACGCCTTGAACCTCTGCAACTGCGTAGAGATGTTGCATCGCTTAGCGCCTTTTACCGCATGTACCATGGTGAGTGCTCTGAAGAGCTGTTCAACCTCATCCCCCCTTCCCCGTTCCTGCTCAGAAGCACGCGTGCTGGCCTTCGTAGTCACCGTTTCACTACCTGCCGCATTCCATCGCGTACTAAAAGGTTTGGTGGCTCCTTTCTCTGCCGCACGGTTGACAAATGGAACTCCCTTCCGGCACATGTCTTTCCTCCCTCTTATGATATGGGGTCCTTCAAACGAGGCGTGAAGAGGCGTATTGTAGGCAGGCAGGGTGGAGGTGGCTAGTGCAGTGAGGGTTTCATCGCTGCACTAGGTTCCTTCACGTTTGGATACCACTTTCCACTTAACATCAGGTGGAGTGGAGTCATTTGCCTGTCATGTATAAAAAAAAAAAAAGACGAAGAACGGGAGTACAGGGGCCTTACCATGAGCGCTACATGAAGTGTATATCACCATCCCGCTTTTTTGTCGTTACGAACCTATACATACCTGTACATTTCGACGTTGCTGTTCGGGTATCGGCTACGTATCGGAAATTCTCAGGAACTAGATTCGTTGCTTTTATTATACTATATATATATGGGACGAACAATGCGCCTGGTGGTAAGCGATACGCCTGTTGAAATGAAGTGAGACGAGACGAGACGACTGATGAATTTGTGATTGCAGACTTGTTCCCGGAACGTTATAATTTGGGCCTTTTCTAGGCGAGAGTGAATAGGCATTATTTTGGTGTTCATGCTCCATCGTCCACCTCGTCGTCACTTTCCATCAGGTGAGATGGAGGTCAAATGCACACTTACATTTTATATGAAAAAAACTTCATAAAATAATATATTATATAATTTTTTTCTTCTGTTTTTTTGTGTTAATATAAAAATACGCGTTTTCAATTTACTTCTTGTGGTGGTGGGCGTTAAATTTTTTTTGTAATTGTTAAGAACCCTCTTTTCTAGAGTCAGGTAACAAACAATGAATATTCATTCGAAGACAAAACGAAGCGGTACGTAATTGTTCCTATAGAGTCACTGTAATTTCTGTCTTGTTTACAATAAACACTAACAGCTGGATTTTTCCAATGCTGTTTTTCTGAGAAACACAAATATCTGGATCTTATCTAAACTATATTATTGATGTTAGGCCTTATCTATTATAGAGTGAGATATCTGTGGAGTGTTACCTCTGAATATGAGCAATATTCGTTTAATTTAAATGCACAGGGTGTTTCTAGGCAGATCATTTCAGCAAACATGAACACCTTGATCTTTTTTCTCGTTAATGTTTGTACTAGGTAATTATAGGGAATTGTCTAAAAGGAATATTTTTATTGAGATGTACATGTTTTTTTTACAATACCACATGACGGGACGATGCGTGCCGCTCGGAGCTTTAAATAGCTAAGGTCTGAGGGGCACTGCCACTGCGCCCATCACCCCAGAAAGATAAGTTGACAAGTCCCATTTGCCTGTAATTTCACCAGCACCCTTACCCTTCAAAACTGGAACACAGTAATGGCTGATATTACTGCTTGGCGGCAGAATTAGGTAAGGTGGAATACCCATGTACGAACACTTTAACGAAGAGCTCTACGGCTACCGTAGACTCATTTAAAAGCAAAATCGACTAAAGGAGATAATTAAGATATTGTGTTTTACCTGCAAAGGGATTATAATGCCTATTTTCTCTTAAGGCAAAGATTTTATAATAGTAAAAGAAAGGTGGATACGTAAATGTGCACTGCAACTAGCGCTTCCACATGGCACCACATTGAAAAGCAGTAATAATTAGTACGCTATGAGTGTAAGCAGATATTGTAATACTGTAGTGTAAGTAGTGTGTGTAGTTGGTACAAAATCTCATAAACACGTGTCGACATCTTTGGTATTTTGACCTTTGGAGTGTAACGCGACTCTGAGGTTAGATTGGCTAAGTAGCCAAGTTTTAGCATGTCATGTTTGAAGCACTTATCTACCTTCTTGTCTACCTTTTTACTTATAAAATCTTTGAATGAAGGACGCACTTACTGCATTTTTCTTGTCGTTGATGTTCTGTCCAAAGAAACAAAAACATAAAAAGCTCCTGTTTGATCAAAATGAGATTAATGCTCTGGCCACACCAAGGGTCTAGCGGGTGCTTTCCGGGTGCTAGAATTTTTGTAATATTCGAGTTTTTTTTCAAAAGAAACAGATCTGGAGTTCCATAAACACAAGTGTTTGTACCTTAAATATAAGCAGGAAAAATTTATTATGTAAATCCTATGTTGAGCACACAGGACACAATTTACGATGTCATAAAGTAACATTCTGTACTTAAAATTGCTGGTGTACGCCGTAAATTATATTAAAAAACTTTTACTTACTTTCTTCTTTAAACCATAGACTATAAGAAAGCCCGAAGATAATATCTTACTAAGTTAACTTCAAATCCAAGCAGCGCTTGAAAATCTATTTTTAGAGTAGTTTGTACTACTAAACCTGCATGAGAAGTAATTTTATAATTATGTTTTTATTAATTTCAAACGAGCATTAAATATCAGTGATTCCATTTTGTTTATGAAGATAGAAAAGATTTCTTCTTAATTGTCTATCATTTGCGTAAATAAAAGAATAACTGAAAACCTATCTATCATCAGCACGGACCTCAATGAAGTACGTGACATGAGTACAATAAATGACAAGACGTAATGGTATTTATTCAAGAAACGTAATGAGCATTAA